ATTCACAGTACTATATAGTGAACCAATAAAAACTAAAATATAAATTACCTTCATGTTATCAATAAACTCTATATTCTCCAATCAGCTAAGCTACCAACCATAAGTCGTTATATATCACAATGCTATATGGCGAAAAAATGGGTGGATTCTTACCCTCAAATTTCCGTACCACGGATAGCTATGGGCCCCGTTCAGACGGACGAGTTCGTCCATGGTCGGAACAGAGGAGGGGGAGAGAGACAGCTGCGAAGCCCTCCTCTGTTCCGACCATGGACGAACTCGTCCGTCTGAACGGGGCCCGTAGCTATCCGTGGTACGGAAATTTGAGGGTAAGAATCCACCCATTTTTTCGCCATATAGCATTGTGATATATAACGACTTATGGTTGGTAGCTTAGCTGATTGGAGAATATAGAGTTTATTGATAACATGAAGGTAATTTATATTTTAGTTTTTATTGGTTCACTATATAGTACTGTGAATAGCTCAGATGTGTAGTCATTTCTGTGACCAGTCACTAGCAAATCACCCAGTTATTTCAATGCTAAATTCGCCTAGTTATTTCAATGCTAAATTCTCCTGTTTGATTTGTACTAAGTGCCTCGGTGAATGTGTATGCTCTGACTTCAACGTAGCTATTTCTGTAGCAGTTACAAGCGAATCACTCAGCCATTTCAATGCTAAATTCTATGCTAATCCCATTGTCAAGGGGTGCCTCTGCGGATGTGTATGCCTTAACTTAGCTATTTCAATGCTAAATTCTATGCTAATTCCTTTTAACAATGGGTGCCTCTGCGGATGTGTATGCTTTAACTTTTAACATAGCTATTTCTGTGACCAGTCACAAGCTAATCATTCAGCCATTTCAATGCTAAATTTTATGCTAATTCCTGTGTCAAGGCTCTTTGTTCCTCTCACACAGCTTAAAAGCCGTGATCTGAACGTGGCTCTCTCACTCCAGCGCTGTCCTACCAGACAGTCTCGCCCCCTTCACCTGATGAAGGCCGCTTGTGTTGTGGCCGAAACGTCGTGAGAATATTATTGTGTTATTTTATTTTATCAATTTATTATTTTATTCTCATTCTACGTGACTTTACCGAAAGAACCAAAGAAGATGTGCATATGCTCTTTGTGTATGGTGGAGCAGTTGGGATATTTAGAATGCAATATTGTATTGCTATATAAATAAGCCATAAGCTCACACGTCTTACCGTAAACATTTTTTGTTTGTTTTGAGTTCTTTTCTCACGATTACAACTTCATTTCCCTTTGGCAGTAAACTGAAATGCAGACACCGCACAATAACGAGGGGCCAACAATAAAGAGTTCTGCACGGACGGGTTCATACACCGACATGCCCAACTGCCCGCTTCAGTGGCCCACGATGGGAAATTTCACAAAACCGTTCGATTCGCCGGCCCTCTCCTCCAAAGCTCTAGATCGCAGGTGCGCCACCGCGCTCCACTCCTGGATGTGCTGCCCGCCCCCCCCCCCCCCCACGCGAAAGGCGAATGTGACTCTGTGTTGCTTTCGTTGAGATTAAAAGTCACCCCCCCCTCCCTTCTGCCCCCCGCCGCCTCCATCCTGCACACCTTCCACGCCGCTTTCCTGAGTGCATGTTTGCCGATGCATTCGCAGTAGTGAGAGTGCATTCCACACGCAGACCGCGGTGCACTCCGGCACAGAACGTGAGACTTATTTTTTTAATATATGGACGAATCAACTAAAAGCGTTGGAGTGTTGAGAAAAATGCATTGGAGAAAAGGGATACAGCACTGTTCCTTTACCGCATTTGTTGACCGCCGATTGGAATTAAATTACATTCAGAGACCTTGCCGATGCTTGACCTTTAAGAGGAAATGTGTGCCTCACGCATTTAGTGGCACCTGGCTTGGAGAGTTATGGCCAGAGAATTACAGTACAGCAAGCCGGTCGCTGATACGACTGTGGATTTTTTTTTAAACACCATCCCTGCATATCCTTGTAGTTTGTCGTTCGTTTATTTCCATTTGCACGTGCGCAATATGCTCAGACAATGGATTGGCGAAACATCTGAAAAGCAAGATCGTCCTGAAAGAGTGAACATGTATTTAGTCTTTACCAGTAAAATAAAGGGTTATTTCTCTATTCATATGACAGAAGTTTGAGGGTGTGTCAAACCTCACCTTGTGATTTATAATTGCATCTGGAAAATGTTTGTCACAATGCAGAGTCAGTGCGTGACAACAGTAAGAGTACAGCGATGCAGGGCATGCACTGCCGATTCACATGGTTGGCTAATAACAGTGCGAAAGGAGTTCAACGAACATCCGTACTGCCCATAGACTCAACACTGCACCTCCGATTAGCAAGGTTGACTACGTACGGTGTGAAAGGAGTTCATCGTACGTACGTACAGTGAGGGAAAAAACGTATTTGATCCCCTGCTGATTTTGTACGTTTGCCCACTGACAAAGAAATGATCAGTCTATAATGTTAATGGTAGGTTTATTTGAACAGTGAGCGGAGAATAACAACAACAAAATCCAGAAAAACGCATGTCAAAAATGTTATAAATTGATTTGCATTTTAATGAGGGAAATAAGTATTTGATCCCTCTGCAAAACATGACTTAGTACTTGGTAGCAAAACCCTTGTTGGCAAATCACAGAGGTCAGACGTTTCTTGAAGTTGGCCACCAGGTTTGCACACATCTCAGGAGGGATTTTGTCCCACTCCTCTTTGCAGATCTTCTCCGAGTCATTAAGGTTTCGAGGCTGACGTTTGGCAACTCGAACCTTCAGCTCCCTCCACAGATTTTCTATGGGATTAAGGTCTGGAGACTGGCTAGGTCACTCCAGGACCTTAATGTGCTTCTTCTTGAGCCACTCCTTTGTTGCCTTGGCCGTGTGTTTTGGGTCATTGTCATGCTGGAATACCCATCCACGACCCATTTTCAATGCCCTGGCTGAGGGAAGGAGGTTCTCACCCAAGATTTGACGGTGCATGGCCCCGTCCATCGTCCCTTTGATGCGGAGAAGTTGTCCTGTCTCCTTAGTAGAAAAACACCCCCAAAGCATAATGTTTCCACCTCCATGTTTGACGGTGGGGATGGTGTTCTTGGGGTCATAGGCAGCATTCCTCCTCCTCCAAACATGGCGAGTTGAGTTGATGCCAAAGAGCTCCATTTTGGACTCATCTGACCACACTTTCACCCAGTTGTTCCCTGAATCATTCAGATGTTCATTGGCAAACTTCAGACGGGGCATGTATATGTGCTTTCTTGAGCAGGGGGAGCTTGCGGGCGCTGCAGGATTTCAGTCCTTCACGGCGTAGTGTGTTAGCAATTGTTTTCTTGGTGACTATGGTCCCAGCTGCCTTGATATCATTGACAAGATCCTCCCGTGTAGTTCTGGGCTGATTCCTCACCGTTCTCATGATCATTGCAACTCCACGAGGTGAGATCTTGCATGGAGCCCCAGGCCGAGGGAGATTGACAGTTCTTTTGTGTTTCTTCCATTTGCGAATAATCGCACCAACTGTTGTCACCTTCTCACCAAGCTGCTTGGCAATGGTCTTGTAGCCCATTCCAGCCTTGTGTAGATCTACAATCTTGTCCCTGACATCCTTGGAGAGCTCTTTGGTCTTGGCCATGGTGGAGAGTTTGGAATCGGATTGATTGATTGCTTCTGTGGACAGGTGTCTTTTATACAGGTAACAAGCTGAGATTAGGATCACTCCCTTTAAGAGTGTGCTCCTAATCTCAGCTCGTTACCTGTATAAAAGACACCTGGGAGCCAGAAATCTTTCTGATTGAGAGGGGGTCAAATACTTATTTCCCTCATTAAAATGCAAATAAATTTATAACATTTTTGACATGCATTTTTCTGGATTTTTTGTTGTTATTCTATCTCTCACTGTTCAAATATACCTACCAGTAAAATTATAGACTGATTATTTCTTTGTCAGTGGGCAAACGTACAAAATCAGCAGGGGATCAAATACTTTTTTCCCTCACTGTACGTACATCACCAGGACAGTTTTCTGGGACGACTTTATGTATTTCATTGTTCCCCATTTGTGCTCATTAAGCCGGCTGTGTGCGCCATGTGAAGCTGTTACAACTTGCAATGGGGTTTTGTATCTCTTTCCAAACTAATGACCCACCAGTGGCCTGCAGTTTACATGCACTCTTGCTTAATTCGCACTCCGAATGGCACGCTTAGGGTTACATTCTGGAAGCGGAGGTCACAGTGGGGCCACAGAAATCTGAGTAAAGTCTGTGAAACTCGGAATTGGCTGTAAGTTGGGAAAGGCGTGGGGCAGAACGACACCCAGTCACCTTACTTGCCCGCCTTTCTGTGAACGATATTTGTTTTTTGTCTCTTCACCATACATTTAGCGGGAAAAAAAAACTACGCATCGATGCACGGTTTTAAATAACTTTTGCCACTTACTGCATGCGTCAAATTGTGTGCTCGAGATTAGATTATGAACGATTCAGCAAATCGAATGCTAATGTTAAGCTGTGTGCCAATGGAGCAAACACAACTCGAGCAACGAGACAGAAACAATGAGAAACAATGAAATATAGTAAAACAATTGGCCAAAAAAGTATTGATTTATTATAATTCGTGACACTTTATTGATGCACTAGAGTGGTAAATTCTTCACTGCCTAAATCACTCGGGGTGCTCCGAGGGTTGCCACTTTCAAGCTACAAAAATGCGGGACCTATCATGGGAACAAGATAAATAATATTTCACAATACCGGAAGAGAGAAGGATGTGTAAATGCATCGTTTTTAGTGGTGTTGTTATTTCGCAACTGAAAAAAACAGCACTTGTAATTCATATTCTTAGCTCTTTCGGTAAAGTCACGTTGAAGGGAAACAATAAAATAATAAAATATATAAAACAATAAAAATTCTCAGGACGTTTCGACCATAACACAAACGGTCGTCATCAGGTGTTGTACTGTTACGTATGCATTTTGAACTTCTTTCGCACCGTGCGTAGCCAACCGCGGGGGGAAAGACAACAAACTTAACACAAAAAGCAGTTACACAGAAATGAGTTTTCAATCTAGATTTAAAAGGGCACAGCTCCAGTGTCTTCCTAATATCGGAAGGAAGAGTCTTCTCCGTAACGTACAGAGAAGACTCACAGCTTGCGCAGAGCGTCAGATACCTCAAGGAGAGGACGAACCTAGTCACAGCAAAAATCAGCGCCGATGGAAACCCTAAAATGCGCTCCTCGCTTGCGACGCGGCCCGCGCTCGCTACGGGAGCATGGCCCCCCTGTGCGTAGGCGAGCGTTGTTCCACCGCGGCGACAGCGGCGACAGCACCCACTCAGTGGCCACTGCCATTTGGCACGCGCGCAGCGGCGGCGTGCATGCGTCATACGAAGCCGTGGGTGTGTTGGATTACGACGGCCGCTTATTTCACAAAGGGCTGGAGAGCAAGTGTGCGCCCGGGCCACTCGCGCGGTGTCACACAAGTGGCCGTGTACGCGAGGGGACGGATGCAATTTTTTTTTAAATGTAATCCGCCGCATGATATGCGCGTCTCTTATAAAGCACTTGAGCGGGATTGCTTGTCCCCAGCGTGATGAATATAATCGTAATTTTTGAAAGTACTTAACCTAGCGACACGTTAAACAAAACTATGGGTACGTGGCACAGGTGTGCCGTAGCTATTTGAGAATGTCCGGCATGGATCGGCTACCGATGAAAACGCATGGACACTTGATAGGACAAATCAAGGTAGGTATATTGATAGGCGGTTGATGCACAGCTAGGGACATGAATTAATAGGTGGATGGGTAGATACGAGTTTGGAGGGTAGGTCGATAAATAAGGATATTTTTTTTTGTTTACAACGAATACATTAAAGTAATAAAACATTTTAATAAAAGGAAAACATAAATCTTTGAATGCGCTCATATCTGAGTGCTTTAAAATACACATCTTGGTTCAATTAAACATTTGAATAATGGTGTGCCATCTATAACGTTCACATCTGTTCCTTATAGTAAAGCGACCTCTCAGTGGTAATACACAAAGTAGAAGTCCCGAGATGTGAACATTGTAACAAAGGACAGACTTCATCAACGTAAACGAGCCACGGTACGGTACATTTCGTGTCTCTAACTTGTGCACCGGTCTTTTGTGTTTCTCCTTCGCGTCGCGTGCCGTGTGTCATGTTTCGTGTCGCATGGCGTGTTTCACTGCCTCCCGACCTCCGTTAAAACTCACGAGGGACTTGTTTCCACCTCGCTCTTGTCAACGAATACATGAGCGTGGGAAAGCAAGACCTCCCCCCTGATCCGGAATGCGTATGTGATCGTAGCCGTGATGTGGGCTCCCGTCTGCTGCATGTTAATTCTCGTTCCCGAGTCCTGCGTGAAAACGACCGATCGAAAAGAGCTGCGTTGTGTTACGCTCTTGTACACACACACACACACGGTACGAAGAGAAAGTTAAAGATATTTGTTTTAGCCGTGTACACTGTTGTGACAGGGTCAGTTAGAGAGCACCCGTTAAGACCAGTATGGTACACACGGGGTGATGGGGTGAGTACCATTGCTGATATTTACCACTCCACTACAACATTTACTCATTTTGGGTTGATTTAAGCTATTTAAACGAGAACCGATACAAGCATTTCTGGGTTTGGGACAATATGCTGAGACAGCACTAGATGCATGTGTGCGTATGTATGTTGAACTCCTTTCGCACCATACGTAGCCAACCATGCTAATCGGAGGTGTGGTTTCGCGTGGTTGGCTACGTAACTTGTGGCCACCTCGCAGCACCAACCCTGAGAGTCGCTCCTATCAAAGCCTCTCCCTTCTTCTCCCAAAGTCTCGACACTAATGCTCACCTACCCTTGACATTCGCGCAGAGAACCTGGTGGGCAAGATCAACCAACGGAAAGAGAGGAGCCAAATGCTCAAAAGTGCAGTTAGTTGGTGTTCTCGTATCGTGCAGGTTTCAAGCATTGACTTAGTGTCCTACAATAGCCTATGGTTAGATGCCAGGTGATTCCGTTGACTTGGCCTAGCCAGCCACTGGGTCCACTCTTACAGGTACAACCTCTGAGGGTCAGAGGCAACATGATGCTTTAGAAGACAGGACCACCTACATCCCTGTGCAGGTTCATGAGAAGAATGATCACTACTCAGGCAAGGTTAAGATACAAATTACCACTGGTTTTGTGTATCCTGGTCAGGAAATAAGCAAATGCCACTGGGACCATGAGGGCTATTGTCACTCATTCGTGCGTGCGTATACACACAAAGACACACACACACACAAAAGACATATACAATGAGCTCGCAGTCCAAATATCTATTCTTGCAAATAACTTTTTTTTTTCAAAATAGACAGCCTTTCCAACCAAGATCATCAGAATTTCAAAAAGACAGGCGCACGCGTGAATGCGTTGCATGCCCTCACGAAATGCATATTAACTGCTTTCCATTATCGACGTTCGTCTTGTCAGTTGGAATTTCTGTGAGCAAATAACGTGTTTTGTTGTCGCTCCCGATGGGATACGAACCCTGTATGGTGGTGGTCGTTTGACAGCACCCAGAGCCGTCTCTGTGTTACACCTGCCCCCCACCCCCGGCTGTGCGCCTGCCATAAATGAAGGGACGCACTAATTGGAGGGTCAGAGGTGGCAAAGTGGCAATTACATTTGCTTTATCGACCTCCAAATGCTGGGTCAATTTGTCACTGAATTTACACTTACCGGCATGTTCTGCATTGGCATTATTTAAACTTACATTCAAAATCACTTGAAAAAAAGACAAAGATCCCCCGTGTAGTCTGAACACTGTTGGGACAAGTGCTGTTTGCGAGCTCCTATGAAGGCCGGCAAAGCACACGAGCGGGGTGAGTGGACAGCACACACGTTTGGCCACATTTGTCTCCCCAGTGGTTATGTTCACATATTGCACCAGGTACTCATTTGAGGCCGAGTCGTCCTAGGGGAGGCCCAAGCCCAGATTCAGATAATCATCACCGGTGTTGGCCATGAGCAGGAATCAAACTCGTGTCGCCGGTTTCGTAGCGCAGCGTGCTTACCATTACATTTTTGTCAGGCGCATTTCATCAAATGCATGGAAAGCAACAAATGACCAGAGCTGGTGTAAACGGCCAGCACTCGCGGGTCAAGGCACATACAAAGAGGTGAGTTTTCAAGACAGACTTAAATATATCTAACGACTCTGATTGACGTATTAGCAAAGGGAAAACATTCCAAAGCTTTGGATCGAACCCATGACCATCTGTATACCAGGCAAGGTAGTTAACATCTCGCCACCACACACTATAAGAAGGGAATCGCACTTATGCGCACGCTGAATCAGCACCATCTCGCGTTTGTCCTCGGAGAGGGCAGCGGAAAAGGATTTAGGAGCCACCGATCTCCGCCGTGTCTTTGTGAGTGGCTCATCAACATGACACGAGGCGCCCGCTGTCTTCGGGGCAAAAGGGACCCCTGTCATCTGCTTTATTTTCTCTGTAACTTATTCTGTCACTCAAGTAGGGTCTCCACCTGTCCTGATTTTTCACCGGAGTATCCTGTTTTTTGAGGAAGGTAGCTCTCCCGGGAAATCTGTAAGCCTTTCTGGGACTTTAAATGTCCCAGATTTTGTCAGTTGCATAATAAAACGCAGTTATATGTCGTTCTGTCTTCATCCGGTATCTTGAGATATTCTCCTTCCCATGATATGGCTCAGTTTATTTTTTTTATATATAGCTCAGAGGTGGCAACACTAAACACAAGTGGAATGTCATTGTTGAAGACAATTAAAACTGTATATGAATGAAAACCAATAAATCTACAGACGAATATCTTAAGATTCACTGCCCCATATACTGTGTACATTAGCATAGGATCGTGCCGGCTTTAAATCATATGCTCAGGATTGCCTGGTTGAGTGAGTGAGCGATGTTTGCTTTATTGTGCCTTGAGCCTTGAAGGGGATTCGAGAGAGGTGATGGTTACGTTGTGGTCTTTGAATGTCTGTGAAGTACACTTACCTGTGCCCGACGCAACACAATATATCTTGGATTTAGAGGACACAGGCAATCCCATCCGTGTGGTTGATACTCTGAAATTGTGCTCATTTACTGTAGGTGGGAGTACAGTAAGAACTTTTGAGAGCACTTTGACGATTGCAATTGTATGGTGCCAAGTGCTGAATGGTATGTGATGACACTTTATATCGTACAATATCTGCATTGTAAAAGCAAAATAGCCTGACTGATGCGTCAGTCATTTGACACGTACGATTGTAAACGCACCATGAAATGAAACTGTTACCACCGTATTCTCCAGACTATGATACGCTCCAGACAGCGAGACGGACCCTGACCTTGTGACCGGGGTCAAGACAGTTGTGCAAATCCGGTCTCGCATGAGATGCACCCCCAACTTTCACTTTTAAATACACGGAAAATATTGTCTAATAATCCCAAAGAATACGAGAATCGTGTGTATCGGCTTTCTTTTAAAAAAGATTCATATCCGTGAGAGCAGATAGATTATCACGAAGCCAAACCTAGCATTGCAATTTTATTCCAAGTCGTTTTTTTTAAATAACTAAAATCATTTCAATCAGATTCCCACATTTTACAAACGCTGTTGTGTGCATGGGTCAAGTTATTTTATGAACGATTGCTGGTGAAATCGACAGTGTGCAAGGTTGAACTATTCCACGTTATCTGAAGGGAAAATGCTCAGTGTCCTCAGGCTCTTTATATATTACAATGTATCCTGTACAATTCAAAGCGAATTAAAGGGTGGTTATGTGGTTCTCGTGAGCCGGTTTCTTTGCGGGAGCAGTGGAAAAGATAACAATGGTTGAGTATTTTACTGTTAAATCAAACTTAATATCTGCCAGCACCATTTAATTAAAAAACCTGATGCAATAGAACAGACAAAAGCCCAGCCCATCATAGAAAAAAAAACTCAACGCATTCATCAATAACACTGCCTGAAGATAAAAATGTACTACTATAATGAGCCAAAAATGTCTCTGTGTCGGCCAGCCCCCCTCATTAATAATCATGAACAGGTGACGTCCTCCACATGGACCCCTCCCCTCATTAATAATCATGAGCAGGTGACGTCACTCCACATGTAGCACCCCCCCCCCCCATTAATAATCATGAACAGGTGACGTCACTCCACATCGAACAACCCCCCTCATTAATAATCATGAAGAGGTGACGTCTTCCAAATGGATACCCCCCTCCATTAATAATAATTAGCGGGTGACGTCACTCCACATGGGGGGCGAGGCGCCTCCTCCTCCCCCCCCTCGGCGTCAACTTACAACCCTCACTACAAAGGCAGAACCCTCACGTCACGTGATCTCCGTGACGCTGTTGAGACATCGAAGTAAAAAGGACGTCATGATGAACGAGGGATTATAACCTTACAATGAAATAGGTCTCTGTCACTGCGGCCTTAAAAAATGCACACAAATTGATGCGGTCTGCTTTTCGCTTGAAAGTTTCAGATTTACTGAAATACACCCGTCCTTGGACGGGAAAAAGGCTATTGTATATGTAGCGACATCGCTGGATACCACAAGGGTGTGGGTGTAGTACCGGCCCTAGAGGGTACCGGTGTGCGCTGAATAATAGCGCTAGATGGCACCACGCTTTAAATGCAGTGCCGACCCTACAGGACAGGGTGTGTGGGTGCCGACCGAAGGATTAGATTGTGTGAGGCCATGGCACTCTGGTTG